AGACACTATAAGACAGAAAATTTTGATCAAATGGAACCATAGGAAGAAGGTAGCCAAGAAGTTAGAAGAAAAGATTCTACCTCACATCTTGCAGAAGCTAAGGGAAGACAGTTACAACCTGGACATTGAAGTGATCATAGCCTCCCGTGATGGTGTGGCAGAACTGTGTGCTAAGAGAGGTAGTGGCTTTAGGTTTGTGGTCAGCCTACCTGACAGAACCTGTTCCTGTAGGGTTTGGCAGGGGTCAAGAATCCCATGCAAGTATGCAATAGCCTACATTACTTCAATTCCTGGTGAAAAACTGGAAGACCATATGGATGATTACTTCTCTATTAACAAATTTAGAGCTACATATGAGGGTCCCATCCCTTGTATTCCTGACAAGAGCATGTGGCCCAAAGCTACTCATGGCTTTTTCATGCACCCTCCATGTCTTAGGTCCATAGGAGGTAGAAGGAAGAATAGGATGAAATCATCACTTGAGGGAGGCAACAGCAAGAAGAGGGCAAAGAAACATGAGTGCCCCATCTGCCATGAGTTAGGGCATCACTGGTACACTTGCAAGAATGGGAATCCAGAAGATATAGCTACAATGGAGGCTGAAAGGTAAACTATGTAACTAAATTACTTTGCAGATACATGTACAGCTTCAATAACTTAGTTAACTAATGTAACTTTTCCTATGTAGGGGTCTTCCAAAGAAAAGGTTAAAAAAAGCAGCAAGCTGTAACACAGAGACTAGTATTATGGTTGCTACTCCATCCCAGATGGTGTTCTCACACAATGAGGTAGTGGTCAATGCTACACACAATAAAAGGAAGAGGAAATCTTCTTCTTCTTCTTCTGGTGCCAAGAAGAGCAAGGGGGCAGCTACCACTACTACTTCAAGCTTAGGTCCAAACAGTGTGTCTAACAGGTATGTTTACTAGCTCTTCAATTGATCATAACACTTCTATTATGATTGCTAATGCTAAAACACACTCTGCCTTTTTGCCACAAGGTCTAGAACTGGTTCTAATGACCCAGTTCCAATCCAAACTGTGCACCTAGCCCTTCCATGAAGACTCCATTACAATAGAGACAGAGCCACTAGAGACTATGCTGCCCTATGCTTCACCAAGAAGGAAGATAGGGATCAAGAAGAAGCTTACACCAAAGAAGCTCCAAGTTGCAGCAGCCAGCCCATCCAGCCCAGCCAGCCCTGCTTCAAATACCAGAAGCAAGAAGAAGCTCCAGCTACAATGAAAGGTGCCTGCTCAATGTTCTTTTGGTGATGTGGTTCTGGAAAAACACCTGCTATGTGATGGCATGACTGTTCTTTTGCTCTGTGATGAATGTTTTATGATGGCATGATAGTACTTAGCTATAGATGAAAATCAGTAACTTAGCTGCTATGTGATGAATGTTGGTGACATGTTGGTGCCATGAAACCTTTGTGATAAAAAAACAGTAAGGCAGTTGCTGTTATGTGATGAATGTTTGTTTACTGTTGCAGTACTCTAATTGTTGTTATATTATTCTCATATATTGTTGCATTCTGAACAAATGAACAATCTGCATATTCATCATTCAACATTGATTGATTCATTCATCCATCCATCCATACATCCATTCATCCATGACTACTCACACACACATAGGCACCTACTTCTTCAAAATAGCATACAAAGCAAGAAATATGCAAACATAGACCATCTTCTCAATCCACCTAAGCTGTTGTAGAACCCTATTGTCAATCCTATTCTCCACTTGTGCAACTCCAGTAGCCTGGGAACCTTCCTGGATGATGGCCAGAGGAGCCGCAGTAGGGAAACCACCAGGTGGTGCCACTGCCTACAGGGGAACTACCTGTAGTGGAGCAGGGGCTGTAGGTGTCTGCACTTCAGTGTCCTCCATTTCATCCTCCCACTGATAATACTAACAGCCTCCAATCTGAAACCCAAAGCTTCAACACATTGTCACCAAACAACAAAAAAGAAATAGGTAAAGGAAAAAATGAGCAGAGAAGGAAACACAAACTGTAAAATAGGAGCACTTGTGAAAGGCACGATTGTTGTTCTTCCTAGTCATCGAGATGAACCGATTGGCAAGCACATAACAGTTGGGGCAAATCACCCGCTTGACCCTACCACCATAGCTGCTAGAAGCTTGAGACATGGCTGTGACAGGAGGGAGGTGAAGGAGATAGAGCTCTAGTTGGATGAGTGGCAACAGATAGGGCTGAGGACCTATATATAAGAGGAGAAGCTCAGGGACTCAGTTGGCGCCAACACCATAGCCTTTGGCGCCAAAATGCTCGGCCTGGGACTGGCCTGGGAATGGCACAGAAGCAAACCAACTAGTTCAAAGAGCCTCTCAAGCCTAAGGACATCTAAGTCATTTGGCTGCGCCGTTACCCACCATTAGGAGCAAAACTAGACGGAATGACGTGTTGGACAAAAGAGTTTAGCGTCATGGCACCAGGGTCCGTGTGAACTTTTTAGTGGCATGTAGGAATGGAGCATCTTTCATAATGGCACACAGAAAAAAGGCTCTTTGGAATTGTCCAGGGTGGATGGGCCATGAAAGTTGGGCCTTGTGCTGCAGATGTACATAGGCCTTGTTGGTTGTTGGTCTCTTGCGTGATTGCGTCGATTTTCATTTGGAAGAAATCACTTTTACCGTAGCGGTGCCTTTGGCGAATGCATTGAAATGCAGTGGTGTGAGTTGATGGAATTAAGGTGAAAATATAATTTTAGATCTTAAATAAATCTTAGTTTCTTATTTGGTTATTGGAGGGAAATAAGAATGAGGTTGAAGAGGTAATTCTAGTGTGTGGCTTTTATAGCGTATGATGAATGATGACAATGTACTTATTAAAATGTAATTCCCACCCCTCCCTAGAGAAATGATTAATATGAGTTCACCCTCTAAATTCACATTACTCTTTCTACCAAAACTTCCACACACATGAAATAAACACATGATTTCTACACTCCTAACTCAATTCTCATTCCTTCCTTTCAATTAGCTTCAACTAAATGTGTAGTGTCCGACTGGTTGCAGGCTTAGACCCTATTTGAATCAAAGGATTCTCAAAGGAATTTTGAAGGAATAACCGCTGAAACAACAGAATCACATCATAGTGTTTGGAACGAAGGAAAGTTGATTTCCATTTTAAAGGAAAGAAAATCATAGTAGTGCAAAACATAGGAAATAAAACCTCCACTCCAATCTAAGGGAAAGAATCTTTGCTCTTACTCTCTATTGCTATACTTGCTCAGGTTCCTGTACTTTTTCCCCTTCACTCTAAACATCTCAAAGTATCAAATTTTGTGTTTTAAAATCCTATAGTTTTCTATTCGTTTTATCTTATTCATGTCTTTTTTGTCCATTTCTTTGTTTTGCATTCCTTTGCTCCAGATAGCCCTTTGCTAATGAAGCATGGAAATCATGCAAAATTGCTTATATATCACAACTTGCTTATCCGTTTGCTGGGCAGGAGTAGGTCACTTCCCCACGCTCGTGGCTCAGTCTAAAACTAGTTCCTAGCTGATGAGCACCTGTATATATAAGGCTAGTCTCAATGGGAGTTTTATAGACATTAAGTAAGCTGACATAATATAATTTAAATGAGAAAAAAGATGATAAAAAATTTATGGGATGGAATGAGTTTCACGAGGATAAAACTTGTTTGCATTGTTCCCAAAACCTGTGAGTCTTGGAAACAACGACATGAAAATCCCTATTTAACTAGCCTAAGTATATTTCATTTGCCGTTTTATAGCTTGTTGGCTCTGTTAAAAAACTTCAGATAGTTTCACTTTAACAAAATGTTGGCCATCGCTTGCTTCCTTTCTTTTTTCCCCTCTCAACAAAATATAATAAACTTGGAATTGGCAAATTTTACTCCGTTGTCAAAGTTAAAATCTGCTTTCAGTATGTTGGCATACTCCCTCCGTCCCATACCTTTTAAGTTTGGACACGAGAATAAAAACACATGTAGCATGCAAAAAACCAATGCTTCGGACAAGAGAGAACGTCCTAGCATTGTTTTCAACACTGCAACAGTTGTATCTCATTAAATTGTTTAGTCACCAACACTTGAGGAAGCATTGAGCCTGTTCGCTGGTTAGTTTCTAGGCTGATAAGCTCAGCTGATGCTGATTTATTGTGAGAGGAAAATACTATTGACTGCCTGATAAGCCCTTGTTGAAAACAGACTGATTGAGGCTTGAAGATTAAAAAATTATATCACTCACTTCCCCAACAAATGTTTTGGATCCTACGTTGCTCAAACACGTGTGTAGACATCGAATACACATTATTGTGGCAAAGAATGAATTAAAGCATTGGGGAGTCGTGTCAGTGAGGTGACACCTCAACATCGGAGACACTGGTCGTGCTCTTAAGGAGGAGAACAAAATATGTAATACACAGAAAACGAGAAAAGAAGAGATAGGGACGGAGATGCAATGAGAAAAAATTAACCAATTCAGAATAAATTTTGAATATTAAAAAGCCAAATATTAGTATTTTGTCATTTTACTTCCGGTTCACTCTAACAAAATTGCTCCCAGTACCTTTATCATTTTTACTCGGTTGTCAAAGTTAAAAATTGCTTCCAGTAATTAACAGGGTATAGTAAAATTTTCTCCGCCCTTCTCCGTTGTCCGTGCTTCCCATTTCCCGGCACAGCACAGGAACCGAGGACCGGATTCCCACGTCTCCCATAATTTCGCCCACCCGTTGAGCTTCCGGCGACGGATGGCCTGGCCGTTCCCAGATCCTTTTTCTACTGATGATGATGATCCCCGTTTTGCGTATCGTCTCCTCTCCCAAATGGCCAAAACCCTCCCTATCCCCACGCTCGATCCACCCACCGCCACCGGACTGCCCCACCACACGAAATATGGCGGCGGGTGTCGCGTGCCGCTTCTACCGTGAAGACCAGCTTGATATGGAATGCTGCCGTGGGGGCCTTCTCCCACACTCCACGGGCCTCGGGGGCATCCTCCCGGATGGCGAGGAGGACCACATCAGCGCCCTCGCCCGCCTTGGCTGCGCTCGTGCGCCGGTGGCGCGGGCTCTGGGTCCACCTCCCCGCGTTCACCTTCCACCGCATCACGCCCGGCCCGCTCGACGCCGCGCTCGTCCTGGTCAACCGTCCCGCGCCGTCGCTCCTCGATATCCACTTCTTCAACCACCACGAGCTCGAGCCGACCCTCATCTCCTCGTTGCTCGGCGCAGCAGCCGCGCTGGCGCCGGCAGAGCTCGCCCTCCACGTCATCGGGGGCATACTACGCAGCCCTATACAGCTACCCTGCTTCGACCGCACAACCTCCATCAAGCTAGATTTGTACTTTGTTGGCTTCACGTTGCCGCCCGCAGGAGGCTTCCCTGTGCTCGAAAGCCTCGACCTGGAGAACGGCCGCATCGACCTCAGCGACTTGCTCCCACACAGCCCCTGCCTGCAGAAGCTTTTGATTCCCTTTTGGAATTCCGACTCGATAGTGGTCAGTGATAGGTTAAAATCGTAGATCAGGGGATAAAATTCTTACTTAGATGGAGAAACTTATTCCTGTACTTCGCCCTAGCGCAGTTGGGTCCATGGCGTCGTAGCGGCGTGGATGCCAGTGTCGTGGCAGCTTGGCGCGGTGGAGTCTAGTGTAGTGGTGGCGATGCAGAGGCGACGGTGAAGTCGGTGGTGGCTTCCCATCGCTGATAGCACCGTCTCTCTAGATCGGTTAGCGTTAGGGAATGGTCGGTGGGGCGTCTGGTAGCTCAGGGGAACCTCAACGACCATTACCTAACGCTAACCGATCTAGAGAGACGGTGCTGTCAGTGACGGGAAGCCGCCACCGACTTCACCATCGCCTCTGCATCGCTACCACTACGCTGGACTCCACCGCGCTGAGCTACCACGACACCGGTGTCCACGCCGTTGCGGCGCCATGGACCCAGCTGCGCTAGGGCGAAGTACAGGAATAAGTTTCTCTATCTAAGAAAGAATTTTATCCCCAGATCTATGATTTTAGAGGTACTACAACCTATCAATGGTACCAAAGCTAGGTTTTCTAGTGTGTAGATCCAGAAAGGGAGAGTAGCAATTTAGAAGGAGATAAGAAAGATCCAATTCAGATCGAAGGAGAGGGTTCCTAACCCTAACCCTAGAAGGGGAAGAACAACAGAAGAAAGAGGGCTCGATTTGGCCTGATTCGGATCGACCCAGACATGAACTCTAACCCTAACTCACGAAAAGCAGGCGGGGAAGATGAACAGTGGGTTCAGCCAAACCCTAACCAGCCAAATCTGAACCCTAACCCTAGACTCGACCCACTCTAGGAAGAGAGAAGAAGGGGTTTTGGGAGATTAACTCACTAGATTAGCTTTGGGAAGCACCGCTGGTTCACCCGCCGTGGTGGTCTTCGTTCCCCACGTGAAGTCCGACCCCCCACCTCCACGCGCCGCCATGAGGCAGCTCGACGAGGCAGCGCGTAGCCTCGGCCGCACGCGAGCTCCGGCGAGCAGCCCCTCGGCGGTGCGGCTAAGCTCAAAGCACCGCTGGTTCACCCGCCATGGTGGTCTTTGTTCCCCGCGTGAAGTCCGACCCCCACCTCCATGCGCCACCGTGAGGCGGCTCGATGAGGCCGCGAGTAGCCTCGGCCGCATGCGCGCTCCGGCGAGCAGCCCCTCGACGGTGCGGCTAAGATCGGGCGGCGGCACCATTTCGCCTACTCATCGGCCGTGCGAGAGAGACGGGAGGGAAAGAGAAAGGAAACGAACTAGGGTTTTGCGAGGGGAGCCAGCCGACGCTGTTTTTGTTTGGCCGAGATCGACGCTCAACCACTGGATTCGAGATCAACAGCCAGCGCTCGCTGGGTCGGCAGTTGGCCTAGGCGGAGCGGTGCGGGGCGCGCGCCGTGGACCGAATTCCTGGCCTAGGCCCAAGTTATGGCCTGGGCGCGGGGAGCGCAAAGCGCGTGGCTGGGCCATGGACCGATTTGCAGCTGGGTCATATGAATAGGATCAGTTTGAGCTTTTTCCTTTTTCTTTTTTCTAGAGAAGTTTGTTTATTTCCTAGAAATAGATTAATGGCTCAAAAGAAAATAGTAAAGAGGAGTTTATCTGTGGGTAAAAATTCACAAATTATGTTTAAATTTCCACTGCAAAATTTGATGTTGATTATCTTCTAATTAAATTTGAACCAACGGAAGAATTTAATTTGAAGAGCAGTTATATTTAGTGAATTACGATTATGTTTATCCTCTAATTAAATTGGAACCAACGGAAAAATTTAAATTAGAGGAGTAGTTCGTTTTTGTTTAAGTAACATTATGGTATTGTCATTTTCTGACCAACGTTGATGATGACAATATTATAATGAATTTAAGTTTAAGGTTAAATCTCTGGTAAATTTTACACCAACATGGTGAATTTTTCAGAGAGTAGATAAGGACCAAGAAATGCTCCTGAACTAAAAGAATGTATTTCACTATTTTCCGCTGTAATGAAGTTGATTATCTTCTAATTAAATTCGAACCAACGGGAGAATTTAATTTTGAAGAGTAGTTATATGGATTTCAAGTTAATTTATGACTTTTAATGCATCAATTCTATTTTCTGCCCAACGGTGATATAGAATTGATGCAGAAGCATATTGTATGTTTTATTTTAGCCGACAAGATCACTCGGCTGCATGCCAACGGGCTGCAATGTTGGGGTATGTGAATGAAAAAGGCTTGATTCAAGACAGTTCAGGACAATTTTTGTTAGTTTAATAATTTTCTGATTAAATTGAAACCAACGGAAAGATTTAACTGAAAAATAAAGTATAAGTGAATGTTTTAGTCATCATGGATAAGTTTTCGTATAGATGTATCCCGCAAGAGAAGAAGTTTTGGCATAGTACTTATGCTAGTCAATCCTGCATGGCGGGAGAAATTTTGTGATGATTCACATGTTTCGTATCCCGCATAGCGAGAGAAGTTTGGGTAGCTCTTATGCTGTCCTAGTATTGACCTTGGCACAATAGAAATGCATCGTCATGGTCAATACTAACCAAGACTTACAAAAGTACTGCTAATGAAAGATCTCGTTGAATTCTTAAAGTCAATTAAGGAAAGTGTACTCCTAAATGGATCAACAAATAACTTTGTTTACATGACACAATCATGTGAATGAAGTAAATTTTAAATGTCTCCTCGTTTACAAGCTTTCTAAATAGTTATCGAAATTATGACAGTAAAATTCGTGCCATATTTCGAGGGGAAGAATATTAAGAACAATTAAGAAAAATATTCTTCGTTAAGAGTGAGATAAAGATTAATTAAGAAAGATACTCTTCATTAAGAGTGAGATAAAGACCGTTGGAGGAGTACAATGGTTACGACAATAATACCCCTAAGCAGAAAAATAGCTAAATTCCTAGACCTTTTAAAGTTCCGACAGAAAAATAGCGTAGCCAGTCTCAAAGATGTTAAGGTGGTGCTTAAAGCGCCATATGAGAGTTTAACAGATTAAACCTAAAATAAGATATTTGAAGATACACCATCTTTAAAAAAGATGGGAACATCTGGAGGAGCATGGTATGTAGAGGTATGTAGAGACCTAAGACTTGAAGAGAAGCGAGACTGTGTGCCCACTTCAGTGATTCAAACAACGAATTTCTTAATACCTGTTGATGTTATATGACTTATACAACACCTGTTGTTAGCTCTTCATAGAAGATGAATAATATAAACAAGGATCTTGTGATATAAGAGCCTGTAGAACCAATTGCCTCTTGGCAATGAAGAGCAACAACAGCCCCATATAAAAGTGCTAGTGGCTGAGGCCCTATAAGATCTTAAAGAATTAGTAAATCAGGTTTTCCAATGACTATGAAGCCTATGTTAGTAAAGAAATTTAAATAAAAGGTGATTCCACCTCATTTAAAAAGCCATGAGAAGCATTTACTCATTTAAATAGCAAGGAACTATGGAAGTTGAAATGAATTAGGTCAATACCAACAATGTTTGGGACTTAGAAGTAATTTTCAATGAAGCCAAAACAGAAGGTTGTCAATGAGTCTGCAAGATAAAATGTGACTCCAAAGAGAATGCAGAAAGATATAAAGTTGAAATGAATTCGATGAGTACCAACGATGTTTGGGACTTTGAAGTAATTCGTAATGGAGCCAAAACGGTAGGCTATTAATGGGTCTATAAGATAAAATGTGACTCCAAAGAAAATGTAGAAATATATAAAGAACGACTTGTGGCAATATACTTTAAGCAAAGAGAAAGAATATATTATAATGAGAGTTTTCTCTCCAGTCTTATGTAAGCATTCTTTTAAAATCATAATGGTGTTAATGGCTCATTATGATTTAGAGTTACATAAGATGGATGTAAAGACGGTATTTCTCAACAGGGATTTATATGAAAACGATTACATGGCACAATCCAAAAGATTTTGTCGTGGAAGAAAAGAACATATGGGATGTCGTCTGTAGAAATCCATTTATGAGTTAAAAGTAAGTCTCTAAACATTAGTATTAAAGTTGATGAAAACAATGAGAAAGTTTGGGTTTTAAAGAAAATAAGAAGGACAATAACGTTTATGCAAAGCTCAAGAATGGAAAATTTATTTTCCACATCCTGTGAAGGTGACATTCTACTATGTTGATCTGTCATTGGAGAGGAAGAAGTTTTGTCCTCAAGTTTCAATGTGAATGATCTCGGTGAAGCGTCATTGGTTCTAGGAATCAAAATTCACCAAGATAGAAGAAAATGGGGTACTGGGACTATCGCAAAGGCATACTTAGAAAAGATTCTAAAGAAATAAAGTATGCATGCGAGTAAACCTACGCCTGCTCCTATAGTCAAGGGTAATAGATTTGTGAACTTTAAGTGTTCTAGGAACCGATATGAGATTGATCAAAAGAATATGGTTCCATATGCTTCAGTTGTTCGAAACTTGATATGTGTACAAGTACACGTAAGAACTTACCCTGACGTAGTTTATGTATCCGGAATATTTTGGCAAAAGTCCAGTCCAGATATAGATCACTGGAATAGAGTTGAGAATTTCTTATAATTTAGCAAAATATTATAGGCCTCATGCTGACTAAGAAAGAACAAGAACTCTCAAATAGTTGATGGTACAAATGTTAAGTTTTGACGAGATATGTAGTGAAATCCACAGCAGTTGCTAACACTCGCAGTTGGAGTATCATTGTGGAAAAGCTCCAAAGAAACAGTTATGGTGTCATCAGTGATGCATATTATAGTATAGCTTGACATGAGGCTTAAGGAACAGGCAAAAGGAGGTTAAGGGAATTTGTACCCGGATTTAACAATGGTAGATAACAACAATAACCATTTAAAGTCAGTTAACTCCTAAGACAATAGGTCAAGTGTGCTGCCAAACACATTGACACTAAGTTATATGTTGTAAAGAAAAAAATCCAGAATTATTTTGAAAGCATTGAGCACATAGGTACCGAGTAAGTACTTGCAGATCCGCTTACCAAAGACTTACCACCCAGTGCGTTCAGAGAACACATAGTCGACATGGGTTTATGGGAAAGCTTATGATTTCTGGATACTAATGGCCTAGTTAAGTATTTATTTCAAAACAGAGAGGTGCATTATAGCTGTTAAATCTAATGACAACTGACCGTGATGATGAGACACGTTCTATGCACTGATCTGTGATGGAATGGGAAAAAAAGAAAGTTAAGTTTAAGTCATAAGGTGAGATCAAGAGGGAAAATGTTAGTTTGATCTCCACCAATTGACCTAATTGGACCCTTGGATCCGCGTTCTGATCGTGCGGGGTCGTGGCAGGGGTCCACCAACCATGGAGCGGTTGGGCGCCTCCATCAAGACGCAGATCCAAAAGACCAATTAACCGTTGGGTCAATTGGTGGAGAAAGTCATCATGGCTCGAAGAGTTTAGTGTTCAGGCCAACTTCAATATCGCGCAGCTTGAAATCGTGGCCCCTGCGCTTAAGAGGTCGTATATGGATGCCCATAGCGTTATCGACAAGGATTGCAATGTGGTGTTCGCGGCGCCAGCGGTGGAGGATCTGACATGGAAGCGCGAGTGCAAGGCCCTAACTTACAGGTTTGGTGTCATATGGCGCTTGTGGAGCCTGACCTTTGAGCACACTCAGCTGGCCAACGACATGGACAGCCAAAGCGTTTCTTTGCAGTCACAGCACTGCCCTCGTGTTGGCGTCCTTTCACTGAGCTTAGAGACCAATGTGCGTCTGCTCTCCTGCTTGTTTCTATTGCTGCACTGAACTAAACTATTTTTTGTTTTTTTTTTCACTGCATGCTTTCCAATTTTCTGTATAGGTTTTGTCGGGAGATGTATCCAAGACCTTCGAGCAAGAGATATACCGATTTCAAGTTACTGACTATTCTGTTTTGGAGCTGGATCTCATACAACAAGGGCATGTTTATGGAGCAATCGTCCTCCATCTTCTTGGCCTTTGTACTTCTATACAAAGGCTTAAGGTGACGCTAGATGAATTTATCAACAACAACAACAACAACAAAGTCTTTAAGTCTCAAACAAGTTGGGGTAGGTTAGAGCTGAAACCCAACAGAAGCAATCAATGTTCAGGCACGTGGATAGCTGTTTTCCGAGCACTCCTATATAATGCTAAGTCTTTGGGTATATTCTATCTTTTCAAGTCTTTTTTTATTGCCTCTACCCAAGTTAACTTCGGTCTTCCTCTGCCTCTCTTCACGTTACTATCCTGGCTTAGGATTCCACTACTTACGCTAGATGAATTTATTGTAAGTATTGATTTTGTTTTGTAGATATGATCATTCTTGTATTTCCGTTCATGGCAATGGAAATGGGGAGATCCCTGGTTCGAAAAAAAAAGATATGATCATTCTGAACAAATTTCTATATCAAAATGCTCGAGGCCGTGCCCTAAGTACGAATCATCACTGACACATTTTACTTCAATATTCTTTAGAGGGGAGACTCCTGCTATGCAAATTGCCGTTGTGATCAGCCTGATTGGAGAAGTCAGAGTATCTCCTTGATTGATCTTAAAGAGGTGGAAATCTATCGCTTTAGAGGACAAGATCACGAAGTTGATTTTTTGAAAGCACTCTTGAGATGTGCAACCGTGCTTGAAAGGGTGACTCTGGGATTTTCCAGAAAGGTCTCATCAAGTGACAGTGCATGCATGAAAATCGTTGGCATTTTAGAGGATTATCCTTCGGTGAAGTGCAATATTTATCAGTATGGCAAGCTGATTTTTATGCGTGAATAGGATGCTCTTGCATGAAACAGGGTGTGATTTAGCCTATTCCTGTCGAAATTGGAACTTCCTTTATTGTTCTCGACTTTTCCCATGTAGGTTTCTGAATAGATATTGCTAGATCTCTGTGAGCTTGTTCACAGGGTGATGGTGACTCTAATTTATCGTTTTTACCGTGGATGATCCGTGTTAGGTGGGCTGATATGCTCTATTGTGGGTCTAGTCGAATGAAATGAATCATGCTTGTGTCCCTGGTTGCTTATTGTTTTGATATGAGTATAGCTTCGTAACTGTGCCATGCAGCTGCTGTAATAATCTCAAATGGTTATTATGCTTCTTTGAAGCCATATGGAGACTACCTGTGCGAATTAGACTGGCTTGTTATTTGAGACTTGACTATATGTTACGTCAATCTGGTACTGAAGATCATTGTTTTGGTTTACATGCAATTGACTATAATGTAGTTTCCATTTGTTCAATTTATCATGGCTATGTCTATTCGAGATCAGGGTTTCTGACTTATTTTTCCTGTTTCTAACTACATGCGGGTATGATATAAGAAAAAGTTAACAGATGGAAGTGTACCCTGGCAACCTACGGGCGCTGTGTTATCTCTGAATACGGCTAGGACTAGCAACACATTGTTAGTGAGGGTAATCATGCAAAAGTTCTGCGTTCAGAGATGTGAAACGAAGTGGCCTGTTCGCCTGAATGCCTGATAATCGTCACTCTCCCCGTGGAGCAATCCAAGTATCTGACAACATTTAACAGCCGACACCAAGCAATCTACGCTGTAACGTGCTCTCTCCGTTCCAAAATAGATTGACCTATGAATCTAGGCACTCATAGTTAAATATCATCTATCTTGGGACGGAGGGGAGTGAGTACAGTTAGAAAAGTAAGAGCTGGAAACGTAGAAGAGGGCTTCTGGTAGTCCAATTTATCTGAAGCTGAAGCAGCGCAGGCGCCGGCATGCAGTATAGGTAAATCGGTCCGTAAATTTCAGTGTTATGAGTTTATGATTTGTGATCACATAGTGACGTACGGTGGATGATTGAGCACTGGCAGATAGAATTTTGAAATTTTGATAAGCTCTCTGGCACACACGGAAAAAATCGAGAGAGAGAGAGAACTACCTACTTTCCTTCCAATTTACACTTTTACTTTAACTTTGTCCTAACAAAATTCTTTTAATTTAACCAAATTTTTGCAAAAATATATTATCAAGATATATTTCATAGAGAACCTAATAAAACTATTGATATAGTAGATTTTGATGTATTTTTTTTTTATAAATGTAGTCAATATTAGAGAAGTTTTATGTAGAATAAAACTAAAGTGAATTATGAATTGAAGTGGAGTATCATATATTGTAGTGATGCGACAACTACTCTAGCCCCTTTCAAATCCAGGCTAATAGAAGAAGATGAAGACGAAATTCCTGATCATAACCATGATGCTGCTGTCCATCATGGACAAGATGATGAGCCTGTTCGCCGGTTGGTTTCTAAGCTGATAATCCCGACCGGTGCTGGTTTGTTATGAGAGAAAAATACTGTTAGCTGGTTGATAAGCCCTGGTTGAAACCAACAAGCGAACAGACTCGATGTTGTCGAGGAAGACCAAGGCCGTGGTCCACAAGATGGAGAAGTGTGGGACATCACCGGCCAGGACGAACATGCCGCTTTTTAATTAAAAACATGAAGCTAGCCAGCTAGGTATATCGATTTCATAATTTTCATATTGGGCTGCTCGGCTGCACTACTCGCAGAGTCGCAGTCGCAGCCATGCGGGTGCAGCTACGAGCAGTGCTGCCGAGCAAGCTGACTTCGGACACATTACTTTTCATTATGCCAATGCTTAGTAACTAAGAAAATGGTACCTATTCCTCTTGTTCCAAATTATATGTTGTTCTGGAAATTTAAAATAGAGAGAGTATTTTATTGTATAAAGTATAGGAGAGATATGTGGAGGTCGTACATCATTTTGTGCAAGGAATAAAATGAAATTTGCATTTTTCTTATCTGATTTTTTAAATGGACATAGATTACATCAACTCAATCCTGTTGGAAAAAAGTGAATTTCATAAATTGTACAGATTTACATCGTTAATCAAGCCATCAGTATTACCTCAATGCCCCCTGCACGAAGAGTCAAAGACTCAAGATTGAACGGACCGGATCGCATTTTAGGGGATCCAGGCCCGAGGCCAAGCTGACACGCGACGCTGCCCCTGCCCGATCTCCCGGTTTCTGTTTTGCCGCATCCGCCGGCCTCGCCGCCGCCCTCCACTTCCTGCCGCCGCTGGGGTCGACTCCTCCGTCCGCGCGAAACACCGGCCGGCCGAGGCGCCACTTTTTAAGCCAGCGCGATGGATGACGCGGCACTTGTCGCTGGAGCAGGGGCGGCTGCCGCCGCGGCGCCCCCTGCAGCGGCTGCCGGAGCCGCCGTGATGGGCGTCTTTAAGTACAACTTCGGTTAGTGCGCCTCGCGCTCTGCTCCCACATGCTCCCACACACCTAATTTGATCGCTCGATCTCCGGGTGGTTATTGACCGGCGGATGCTGAGGCTTTGGGGATCTAATACTCGGTGTGCTTTCTCTGTCTGTGCCAGCGGCTCAGTTCCTCTCGAGGGTTATCCCGTTCGTGTTCAACATCTGGTTCGTGCGCCACCTCGGCGCGGACGATGGCGCGGTGTCGGTGTGGATCTCTTCTCTGCTTTGTTCATTCTTTTACTGCAGTGTAATGGGTTACGATTTCCGTTGCCTCCGGAAGCGAGCGTTTGCATTGTGAAATCCACTGGAGTTACTTTTACAGCATGATGGTAGAATTGGGTGCTCGTAGTTCTCATGTGGACCTTAGAAATTAGAATTTTGTGCACGCCTTTGTGGTTAGGTATCATTTTATTCTCAGACGTATATTCTTTGGCTTTTGGTGATGATCTAGTTCAGGGTTAGAGACTTTGTGGTTCTATCCATGTGTGGGATCAGTGTTTAGGTATTATCATGTCTTACTTGGGTGGTTTAAGGTAAGTTATACTGTTTTCTTCATGAAATCCAGTAGCAAGATGTCAATGATTCAGAACACCTAGAATGCCATGTCCTTATAGATTTTTTCAACCAATGACACTTTATGAGTTTATATGTAAATGTATGCTTCTGTTTATTAATATTATGTAATAGAAATGCCATATAGATGTCTTAACCAATGGCACTTCTATGTAAATGGATGCTTCTGTTTATTAATAGTATATGATAGAAATGTTTACTTATTTATTTCTTGTTCATTTGGCAGGCATTCGCATTGCAGCTTCCTCTATTTATGAACTGCATCTTATTTTTAAGCCGAGAGGGGTTTCGACGTGCATGTTTGCGTAGTGATTCCCAGAGGTATTAAAATAAATCTATATATGTCACGAACCAATTTAGGCTCAATTGTGAGGCTCATCTATTTATGTTCAATTCTGAGGCATATCTATGTATTGTGATTTCGCAGCAGTACTATTATGTACGATGCATAGACCATACTGACTCTAAGAATTTCGCTTGCCAGAAAAAACCACTTAATATGAAAGAAAATTGGTATGACCACCTGATTGTTGCTCCTATTTGGTATGATGTCTTTTCTGTTTTTTGGATGGAGAGAATATGAAAAAATCTCAGAGAAATGGTTATCTTATTTGTTAGGGTATTTTTAGGAGTGAAGAAAAGGGGAGATGAGAGAAGCGAATCAGGGCAAATGAGCTGTCCGTAGTATGTCCTTTGGAGAAAGGGAAAAGTTAGTTTCACAAGTGCGACACAAACTTACGTAGGAGTAAGGCAGTCTATAAAATTGGGTAAAGACTCTATTCTAATTCTTATTTCTTCCCTTATTCCCCAATATCCAACCAAAGAGCACAAAATTGTGGCTTCATACTTTTCATATCCATCTCCAACCAAAGAGCAGTAAATCTCATATATTATATTATTACCTAAGAAGGGCGGGCCTGGTGCAAGCGGTAGAGTCTTACCGCCTGTGACCGGAAGGTCCCGGGTTTGAGTCGCGGTCTCCTCGCATTGCATAGGCGAGGGTAAGGCTTGCCACTGACACCCTTCCCCAGACCCCGCACAGAGCGGGAGCTCTCTGCACTGGGTACGCCCTTTTTATATTATTACCTAAGATAAAGCAGTCACAAGATAGCAGGATTACAAAACTTGTGGCTGCAGCAGATTAAACGCTATTCCTAGATTTTAAAATTGTACAAACGTGGGCATTCCATCTGCTCAGTAGTTTCTATACAGTAATGAAGTTGGTCAGTTCTATACTGCATGAATTTGATTACACCTTACTCTGTGCTTGTAGTTCTTTCTAATCCTTGTTGCCTTGGAATGGCTTTTTAAAGTGACGGCTTTATATGTTTGTTACAGTGATGTGTTGACTGACGAAGCGATACTAATGGTAGCTTGGATGGTAATTCCAATGTCCATCTTAATTACTTCCATTGGCAGCATACTTGTGTTGAGTTTAAAGAAAGTGAAGCTATCTGACCCCTATGCAAAAGCTGTATTGATCATCGGTATGCCATCTTGCATGCACTAACTTTATCTTACAGGCTGTTCTTTCCACTTCTCTATGTTCATTCATACTGAACATGATAGTTGATACTCGATATTCCTTTGAGGATTTATCTTGTGCCAATGATCTTGTTAGTTTATTGTTGGGTCAGCTCGGCAAACTAATAGGATGAACCACTGAGTACAGAAGGGATTTGACATTTAGAATCAGATTATTCGACAGTGGTGTCAGTTCTGCACATGCAAACAGAAGATATACATTCTTGTCAATGAAACAAATGCTTTGGTAGTTTGATGTGCCTTCTTCTGGGTGTGATGCATCATGTTAAGATAGTGTAATCGAGTAGTTCATGGGCTTGCTAATTTTGCTAAGCATATGGTGCACCGTGTGGTCTGGAGGGACCACTGGACCAGGCACCTGTATGTGCTAGGGAGATGCTCATTTCTAATTGTAATGAGTCTACCCCATGCTCCCTTTCTAAACTAAAAGGCAATAATCAATATGCACATTTGTCCTTTTAGCTAAGCATCTACTTCGGGATCGGGATGACACAAATAGCTGCATGAAAATCTCAGACCTTGCCCTTGCACGTCACATGCTGTTACACCTTGTATTCTGACACTCCCATATGCTAAGAGCTAACATTTTTTTTCTTTTTCAAATAACAGGATTTGCTTGTATTCTGGAGTTACTGGCAGAACCATTATACATTATTTCCCAGAAAAAGAAATACTATAATATAAGAGTGTACGTTGAACCGACAGCTACACTCTTCCGTTGTTTAACAACTTTCATCCTCATAAAAGGACATATTAAAGTGGTAATAATCATGAGCCATTTACTTTATTGAATCTCTATTGTTGTTAATTGCCTAATTTCCTCCTTTCTTTTAGCTTAAAATTTTGCTCATGTTATGAACTACCTTAAGTCTTAGAAAAAAAAACTCTTCTTTTCTTATTGTTTTTATTGATGAATACAAGACTAAAATAACAATTCATTTTCTTGCAGGACAAGCTGGTTCTAGTTTCTTTGTCCCAGGTTGTCTATGGGGCCTGCATTTTCTTTGGGTATTGGTCATATTTTCTTATGTTTACTGATACTAAACCTTCAGATCTTTTTCTGTTAAGGTTAGTTGTCAAATTGTTTTTGCATATTTTTTTGTATTTTGTATTATTAATAGGTTTGATTTCTCACTAAGTTCAGTTCCATTTGCTCATCGACGCCAAACATGCCTATTGTCAGGTTATCAAACCTGATGGACTACGATAAACAGTTATTGCACATGTGCATGTTGTTTACAGGCCAGGCTTTCAGGAAGTTGATACTCCAAGAAGGCGAGAAATTTGTTCTTGTGTCATTTGATACACCATACAACCAGGCCGCGTATGGCATTGTGGATAAATTAGGTAAGCATAAGAAGAATCTTTTTTGAAGGGCGGCCTGGTGCAAGCGGTAGAGTCTTACCGCCTGTGACCGGAAGGCCCCGGGTTCGAGTCGCGGTCTCCTCGCATTGCACAGGCGAGGGTAAGACTTGCCACTAACACCCTTCCCCAGACCCTGCACAGAGTGGGAGCTCTCTGCACTGGGTACGCCCTTTTTATAAGAAGAATCTTTTTTCAGTTACTTTTGTCTGCTAGTATTGTAGTAGATGAAATTAATATATGTATTCATTTCATTTCATTTCTGCAGGGAGTTTGGTTGTTAGGATAGTTTTCTTGCCATTTGAGGAGAGTTCATATGCCACTTTTGCCCGATTGGCAGGTTCTTTCTTGTACACTTGAACTTTGAGCTAACTATTGTTTTACCTCAAGTTTTTGGCCTGATTGAACTTTGCACTCACATTATTGGTATGGGCTATTATATCTGGAGAAGGCCATATATATAATATTTTGCCTACTAAGCATCAATTTAATGTTAACAAAAAATACTGGGATACTATACTGTTATCATATCTTTTGATTTATATTTACCTGTATGACATTTATCAACAGGCGAGAGTCCCCGAAATATATCCAATATTGAAGACTCTTTGCTTGGGGCTCTAAAGCTTATTATGCTAATAGGTACATTTTTTTTTACACCGTTATGCTTGCATTCCAGCATTAATCTACTCACACACCTTATCTCGTTTAAGAATCAGTCGATTGGATTGCTTGTGTTCTTCTTAAGAATAGCTTTTAGTTGCTATCAACTTCCTTGTCCTTGTTCATTCAAGAACTCAACTTCCTTGTCCTTGTTCATTCAAGAACTTCACAATCAGTGAATATAGTCATTCTCTAACTGCGCAGGTTTGGTGATCATTTCATTTGGTCCAAGTTATTCATATACCCTTCTAAAACTACTCTATGGGGAAAGACACAGTGATGGAGAGGCTCCAGTTATTCTTCGTTACTATTGTTTATATATCATCAGTTTAGCGATGAATGGTTTGTATTCATTACATCCACTTTGTGATTATTTCAAGATTGTACTATATTTTTCTTAAAGTTAGTTAATGTATATTTCTTTTCTACTTTGGCCTAACAGTTTATAGTTGCCTCTACTTGTGTTGTTTTTGTCTCAGTTTTGATGCATATAGCAGAGTATACAGACATCAGTTTAATGATCTATGTGGTCCCTGCTCGATATGATAGCAATTACTAGGCTGCAAAGTTGCTGTTACAAATGTTTAACTTAGCTTATTTTATGCATTTGTATAGTTGAGTACTGGGTAATCTTATCTTAACATAGATTATCATAAATGCTAGTAAGTGGTTCCAGTACAGATGGAACTGTGCTGATTATGTTCATTTGTAATTTCAGGCACTTCTGAAGCTTTTCTTCATGCTGTTGCAAATGAAAACCAGCTTAAGCAGTCAAATGATATGTTGCTTCTGTTCTCGGTGATTTACATCATTCTAAATGTTGTTCTTATTAAATCTTCTGGAGCTGTTGGGTTGATTGCTGCTAATTCCATTAGTATCCTTTGATTAACCACTGTCCAGTCTATGATTCTAATTTTTCTTGAATGCATTTTTTTCCCTGCATAACTTGATTTGTGCCTTGACTGTCTGTAAAGATATGTTGCTACGAATAACTTATTCTGCAATATTCATAAAAGATTATTTCAAGGTATAATTTTGTTCATATTTCACATTGGGATCTTTCAGGTTCTGTTCTTAAATGGAAGTTAATACCTGATGATATTGTTTACAGGGCTCATTCTCTTTCCGGCGCTGTATGCCAGCAGGCTGGGGCATTTTACTCATTTCTGGTCTGACCACTGTTTTCTCTGAGAGGGTTTTCTTGAACAAAACGAGGTTCAAGCAGACTGTTCCCATTCACATAGCGGTTGGCATCATGTGCCTGAGCATCGCGTTATTTGAGATGTAAGCACCAGATGACTGCATAAATATGCGTTTGCTCTATTTTTTTTACTTGTGATAATCATTCTACTGTGCCCTGTTTAAACAGATACCGTGGTGAAAAGCAGTTCTTGAGGCAGATAATCAGGACTTTGAAGCATCATGACAAAACTCAGTGATTTGAAGACAGTGCATTTCATAGCATATTCTGGCTTGAACACCTGATGAAAGAGAACTTGTAGTATAGTGGGTGAGTAAGTTGATAGTGTGTGTGCAGTAGATCGGTAGTTAACAAAAGTCAGTGATTTTGAGATACAGTGCATTTCATAGCGTATGCTGTCTTGAACACCTGATGAAAGAGAACTGGTAGTATAGTGGGTGAGTAAGTTGATGGTCTTTATGCAGGAGATCGACAGTTAACAAAAGAGGAGGATTAACCGATCGGATTGATAAATCGGTTGCGTATGGGAGTTGCTGATTGTTCTTGTTGACTCGATCCTTATTTTACGGATACATATCTATTGAGTTAGTGATTCGATGTTTTATAATTGAAGGAAGAAGTTTAAGTTCATTTGTTAAGAACAGCTTGGCTGAATAGAGCCAGATGCCCAGATGGATCCCCAAGCGACCAAGTCCAACGGCCTGAAAGGCTGAAACTATCTGACGCCAGCCCAATCTGCAAATCAGCTGCTAAAGTTACCTCGCGCGCAATTTCGGTCCGTTTCCATCGCCGTTCGGCTCCCAGTTCCGGCCGTCAGCGATGAGGCGTCGACGGATCATGTGTCTGACACCATTAAATGCTTAATCTGTCCAAGCCATTCCAATATTCTTCTCGCTTTTCACACATTTTGCGTTAGGCCATTGGAAGTGTGGTGTAGTGTTGCCGAGAGATTCAATAAACTGACTGATATATCTGCTTTTGTTGTGATCAATCAAATCGAATTGTGGCGTTGCTGCAATCAGTAAATCCTATCAACAATATTACTGCATTTGTGGATTACGGTATTACTTTGCCACAAATGGATTGATGCTTCTGTTTTAGTTCTAATCAGTTGTAGCAAAATATTGGTGCAAAAATGATTTTAGTCTAATCTGTTTTAGCAAATGCTGAAATGCTAAAAATAGACACCAAAGGTCTAGGATTGGAATTTGGAATGGTTCGTGATGGACAATTAATGGGCCACTAGAAGAGTTTGCAGATGGGATCCCAGCCGAGAAAGCCCAACGGGTGTAGAAAAAAAATCCGGCCTCGATTTCGACTTGGCCCTCACGACAACTGGCCCATCCATCCGACTTCGGGTCGGACTCGAAAGCGCGTCGTGGCTGGGCCAGATCTGAGATCCAGCCCAGCTGCTTAAATCCCACGCCCTCCCCTTCCCTTCTCCTGGCGCCCAATTCCTCTGCTCCCTTGCCGTCTCCTTCCCTCCGCAATCCACCCACACTCTCTCTGCTCCTCGTCGATCCAATCCTTCCGAAGCTCTCCTCTGCCCTCCATGGTGATGTATCTTCCGCCACGCTCCTCTTCCGCTGGCATGCGGAGCATCCGCCGCGAGCTCCAGCGCAGGAGGTCCAAGCCCTTGGCGCCCACGAGGTCGGTCGCCAAGAAGCCGTCCGCGTCGCCGCCGCCTACGCGTCAGGGTTCGACCCACGCCGTCCGGGATCCACGCCATTGTCCACCACACCAGGAGATTCCACCGTCGACCATCTCCCATTCCCGAGGCTCCACCGTCACCGACGCGTCACCACAGTCCCGGGCTCGCGCTTCGTCGCGCTGCATCGTCGACTCTCCGCCACCGCCGCCGCCTCGTCGGTCCGTCCCCTCTTCGACCGGGTCCGCGAACCGAGCAACTCTCGGCGTCGCCACGCTTCTGAGGCCTGGTACGGTGGTTGGTGTCCGCACGAGGACCACGACGCTGAAGACGGGGCAGGTTCTCGTGCTCTGGCTCAAAGCCACGGTCGTGTCGTCCACCCACGCAGGATACGAGGTCGTGTACGACGGCAACCCGCCATCCGGCGATCCCAAGGGAACAGTCCGCGTCGCGCGACACCACGTCAGGGTGATCAAGACCTCGCCGTCGCCAACGACTCCACCGCCGTCCCTGCCTCCGCGCATCGCCACTGTGGCCGCCGCGCAGAAGAAGGATACGCTGCCTGCGGCGAGGCCGACCACGGCGGGGAAGAGCGTGCGCCTCATCCGCAGCCTCTTGCCGGAGATGGAGCGCCAGGCCCGGGCTCCCTTGTCAGGAATCGGATACTAGCTGCTGCGTGATTAGTTCATTGCTTGTTCGTTCATGAGTAGTTTCTGTTTTTGTTTGATTAGTTCATGAATCGTGCAAGTCCCAAGTGACCGTGTGTTATCGGCAAAACTAAACTGTCAGCATACGGTTGGTGTAAAACCTTCCCTTTTGGTGATTTATATGTATGGTTGTATATGATTATGCGAACACAAGTTTGATACGTGCCCTTGTGGTTTGGATTTATGATGAGTGATTGTCAATGTAATTCGCGTCTTGGGTTGAGTTTGTGAACTAACCATGGCGTGAGTTGTGTTGTGCAACATGTCTCTTGGCTTGTGGTGTGCAGATGTGGAGCTCGGAGGCGGTGGTCGACGGCGAGATGAAAGTCAAGTAGGGATGTGCCGTACCGATGGACCGGGAGCTGTGAAGGACGGACGTGAGGCTTGGACCGAGGGACCAGGAGGCCGGGTGACCAGCCACGGTGGCTGACATCTGGGGACATCGACAAGCGCAAGTATACATGGAGGAGTGACCGTGTTGACCAAGTCGAGACGACGGACGTGCAATTCGAGCGGAGGCTCTGGAAGACTTGGCGGCCGGGCGGTCGAGGACGGAGGTGACACCGTCGAGTTGCGGGGGACGCATATGGAGTACGCTACTCGCGGGCGGTTTGGTGGGTTGAGCCTCAAAACCACCGGGTGTCGGTTTCGCGGGTTTGTCCTCAAAACCCGGGCGGATGTTCCGAGGAGGAACGGGGCGGCACGTTGCGGAATCACGAAGGTTGCTTCAAGGCGAAGCAAATTCGTGAAGAAAACGGGGCCGTCCGATTGAGTGAAAAATAGTTGGACCATAGCGCACTCAGGTCAGTGGTTTGACATAAAAATATTTAGGGGTAAAACTGAAATTGTGTAAGAGCTCTATTAAATAGGATGAGTATGCCCCGTCACCCTCACCTCTCCTATTTTTATTTTCTCATTGTCCTAAGTTTTTCCCCTCCGAAGGTTTTGTTGAGAGAAGTCCATAAATTCCAAATTTGTGTAACAAATCTGTGATTTTGGATTGGGAATGGCGGCCCAAATCATCCGGTTGTCCTCCGGGATTCCTAAATCGAAGCTGTGATTTTCGTTCATTGTGTTTCCATTTTTTCTCCTTTTTCTTTCTTGAGTTCGATCTCAATTTTTTGGAGTTTGGGTCAGTCTCATGCAATGATTTTTGGGGAATAGGTTCGTGCTAGGTTGAATTGCATCTGTGCAAAATTTAGGAGCGTTTCATGGAGTTTTAGATTGGTTTTCTTCAGATTTTTGGTCGCTCCTTTTTCTTCTGTTCGTTCTTGCTTCTTCTCTGTTAGTGTGTTCGTGACTGTATCGAGCAGGAGCAGCTGTCCAGCTGCCCAGCGGAAGCACTACCAGCGCTAAGTGCTCAGGCACCAAGCGAGCTCACTTGAGCGGTGCTTGCTGTGGGTGCTCGTGGCTGGCAGCTAGCCTCTCTCCCTCCTGTTCTACCCTGTGCTTGACATCGTGGTGCACCAGGTCTTGATTGAAGCCACCGGAATTGTCTCCGGTCACCACCAGCAGGCAGGGAGCACTCACCAGTGCCCGAGCGTTCAGCAGCAGGCCTCAGGCGTCGAGCATCTCATCCATCCCGCTCAGCCGAGCGGTGTTCGCCCCTGCCTGGAGCTGCTCGCCTGCTATCGCTCGATTTGCCTCTGCTCGTTTCAGTTCGGCATCTGCGCGTTCTTCAGGCCGCGGACAGTCTGTCCCTGTTGGCCCAGACAGTCCGCACTCCCAGTTTTGGCCGAGTCCAGAACTGTTTCTTCTCAGTCGTTTTTCGAGATTTGCACGGCAGACAGTCCGGGGTTGGTGGGTCTGATCCACATACAGTCCGCCCCCCCCCGCGTCCAGAGTTGGTTGTTTTCACTCTTCTCCGCGTGCTCATTTTCGTTGGTTCTCGTTGGTTCCGCTGTACTTCTTGGTCATCACCGGAGGTATCCAGCCACCAGTTGGCTTGTGAACAAATTGATCTTGCGTGCGTTTGCTTTTGAGGTTTGATTTAGGGATAGCGGCCAAATATTTCGAAAGAAATTGAGGCTCTATGTTCTTCAAGACATCATGGACTGCTTAATTTGTTTGAGCGCTTTCTTATGTTTTTGCTTCCCAATTTATCTCAAGATATGTTTGAGATGGTCACTACTTGTGTGATATTTTGCATTAATGAGAAGTTGATGGTGCTGGTAGGGGTTTCTCAAGAGGTGAGTTGCTGCTAGTCTTCATAGCGTTTGTCACCACTTTGTGCAGAGAGTAGTCTGGTAGTATCTCTGTTTTTTCTTCTTTTGATCCTTGCTTGTGATCAATCAAGTCAGTTCTCGCAATCAAACTTTAGTGTAATATTTAGCTGATATTGCTACTATCTTGTCTGATATGTCAGATTTTGTGACAAATCAAGCAGAAATATTTGTGATGGTGTATGACGTTATTTGATTTGTTCCTTTGATGGAAATGAGACTCTTCCCCTGTGTTTGATAAAGGTTTATTCGCCGGAGGTGTGACAGACTGACAGCTTGTTCGGCTGGCTATGCTATTTTGGCACAGCTGAGTTTAAAAACAAATTGTTCGTCAGGATTTCGGTGATATCAACTTTTGACGTGCATTTATGAATTTGAAGAATAAATAGTGGTGGCCGTTATTCAAGAGGGCCAGTTTTAGGGCATGGTGCTCTTGATTTGATACAAGCGCCATAGACCCATAGTTTTGTATATAGTACATTAGTACATATAAACTGCAAGGACCGTCAAAAGAAAGCGTGGTAGGCTGGTAGCCCAGAAGTCTGAATGCATCCCTTGAATCTTGAATTGTGATCTTCTGCTCTGAATATATCCCTTGAATCTTGAATTATGATCTTCTGCAACAACTCACTTGAGAATTGGTATTTCCGAATAAAAATTCAGGAGTTTTTGTGTACACAGTGTTGTAGCTAAGAGCAACAACACAATGGCACAATGGAACGACAACCCTTGCCATTGCTAACATGGACTACAATTCATTCAGTGCGTTGTATTGAATATTGGAGTTTTTTAATGCATTTAAAAGATGGGGGCGATGGTCCAACTCGAAAAAAGTTTTAGATTCCGTAGCCTAACTTTAACATTTTTGGACACCAATATCTGTGAACAAATCTCGACTGGCTGCACAAAAAATATTGATTTGTTCTTTCAAGTGGATCTGTGGTCTTGCAAGCTTTGATATTATGCTAACATGGATTTAAGAAATTCATTAAATTAAATTACTTAAAAAAGAACAGAGTAAGTGAGAGAAGCATAAATGAAAGTTACAGAAATATCTCAAAAAAATCAATATGAAGAGGTAAAGAGAAGTTGAAAGTTGACAAAAAAAAACCCCCCTAAAACATGGGGTTTGGAAAGGTTAAGGCACACAAATCACCCCCCCCCCTGATTTCAAAACTCTCTTGGCCTAAAAAAAAATGCCTGTTCATTTAGACATCTTGAAGAAAACAGCATTTCCATCATGTTCGATGTATATGTCTATTAGAACAACTAAAAAAGTATTTAAAATTGGGTTAATTGGATACATGTCATTACAAATATCACGTTTCAAAGATATATCATTACTATTCATGATATGGGAAGTGTACCATTATAATTTTGCATATCTCTACAATATACCATTACTTACCCCTTTGACATGTGTATCGCAATTTAGACCAAATTGATTGTCCTCATCTTCTTCCTCCCACCTCCCTCTCATATTTTGTACGAGCTGTTCACTGCTGGACATGGCCGGGTGTGTGAATAACTGTGCGCAGTGCGCACCTCCCTGCTCATTAGCCCACAAGTATCGCGCTCTCGCTGCCCAGCTCGTCAGCCCCGCCACTGCCCACTGTGGCCGTGCATGCGCACCGGACCCGCACCTCCTGCTCCCGGTCCGCCACAATGGCACATCCGCGGCACTGCTGGCTTGCGAATGGATGGAGCACTCCAGCTTGTCCCTGCGGCACGCCGCACGCTAATTAGATGGTCACAGCGGAGCTAGCTACTCTACAATAATGGAGCTAGCTACTCTATAACTAATAAGCGAGGTACATCACGTACATGGACCTCCGTGCAGCCGGTGCTCAGGCACATACGGAGTACTGGCAATCCAGGAGTTGCCCAGGCACCTATGAGAGAGGGAGGTGGGAGGAAGAAGATGAGGGCAATTTGGTCCAGAAATTGTGATAAACAGGTCGAAGCGGTAAGTAGTGGCAACAACAAAGCCTTTAAGTCCCAAATAAGTTGGAGTAGACTAGAGTTAAAACCCAGCAGAAACAAAAGGTTCAGGTACGTGAATAGCTGTCTTCCAAGTACTCCTGTCTAAGACTAAGTCTTTGGGTATATTCCATCCTTTCAAGTCTCCTTTTATTGTCTCTACCTAAGTTAACTTCGGTCTTTCTCTGCCTCTCTTCACGTTACTATCCTGGCTTAGGATTCCACTACGCACCGGTGCCTCTAGAGGTCTCCGTTGAACATGTCCAAACCATCTCAATCGGTGTTGGACAAGCTTTTCTTCAATTGGTGCTACCCCTAATCTATCACGTATATCATCGTTCCGAACTCGATCTCTTCTTGTATGACGGCAAATCCAACGCAACATACGCATTTCCGCGACACTTATCTGTTGAACATGTCGTCTTTTCGTAGGCCAACATTCTGCACCATACAACATAGCAGGTGTAATCGCCGTCCTATAAAACTTGCTTTTTAGCTTCTGTGGTACCATTTTGTCACATAGGACACCAGATGCTTGCCGCCACTTCATCCACACTACTTTGATTCTATGGCTAACATTTTCATCAATATCCCCGTCTTTCTGTAGTATTGATCCTAAATATCAAAAGGTATTCTTCCTAGGCATTACTTGACCTTTTAAACTAATATATTTCTCCTCCCGAGTAGTAGTGACGAAGTCATATCTCATATACTCAGTTTTAGTTCTACTGAGTCTAAAACCTTTGGACTCCAAAGTCTCTCGCCATAACTCTAGTTTCTGATTCACTCATGTCCGTCTTTCATCAACTAGCACTACATCGTCCGCGAAAAGCATACACCAAGGGATGTCCCCTTGTATGCCCCTTGTGACCTCATCCATCACTAAGGCAAACAAATAAGGGCTCAAAGCTGACCCTTGATGTAGTCCTATCCTAATCGGAAAGTCATCCGTGTCCCCATCACTTGTTCGAACTCTAGTCACAACATTATTGTACATGTCCTTAATGAACCCAACGTACTTCGTTGAGACTTTATGTTTGGTCCAAAGCCCACCACATAACATTCCTTGGTATACTTCGGAGATATACAAAATTATAATGGCATGCTTCCGATATCGTGAATAGTAATGATATATCTCCGAAACGTGATATTTGTAATGACATGTATCCAATTAACCCAATCATTAAAAGGACAAATCATTTCACAAGATAATTCTGTATCTATGTATACTTTGAATTGAATTATTTTGTTTATCATCATAATACATATCAGCTTATGCGTAAAGGCATGTAAACAGAAACAACAGTACATGTCTATATTCATAACCAAAATATTAACAGGCTACAGAAATAATTATTTCCAAAACTTTCACAACAAATAATTGAAACAATACAGCATGGGATGGGATACACAAATTCAGATGCAACTTAAGAAAAGACAAATTAAATATAGAATTCTAAATTTGCAGTAATTAATAAACAGTAAAACAGGTGAATAAAATTAATCTAATAAGGGAATCACTATATATCGGTATTGTTCAATTATTAATGATTTATAAGAAAAATGCTAGGTTTGATGTTTCCCATGAAAACTTATTGCATATTCCTCTTTCCTGCTTCCTGCAACCCCAGCATCTCAGCGGCCCTTTCGCTCGCTAGCATGCCATCTATAGGGTTAAAAAAAAGTGTTTATGACATTTGTGCTTTCTAATGAAGAGCTTGTAATCCATTATCAAAGTATAGTTACTGTAGGTAACCTTCTCCTATAGGACTTTCTGCTTAACCTTAGTTACGGTGCTGCCCCCTTGTAATAAAATGGCAATGAAGCTTGTGCTATGTACTACTAGGAAGCAGAATAAACTCTGAGACAACGAAAATTGGAATATCTGACCAAATCAGTTTTAGTGAACCATTCAACAGCAGGGTACTGAAATAGTTTTGCCCTCCTCGACAGCTGTGTTCATCTCAGACACAATTCGACTGTACAACACAGCTGGATCAGCCCGAGGAAAATCGTACACCGATAAGCCAAAGGCCAATCCTCAAAACCCCTAAACCCTAGAAGAATAACTCGAGCAAAATGGAATGCGACGCTTGAACCGAATAACTAACTGCAAAAGTCCTACTCGAACCAATTGAAGCAAGCAATCGGACGAAGCAACAGCAGCGAACCAATGGAAGCAAGCAATTCGACGAAGCAGGTACATCAGCGAACCAATCGAAGCAAGCAATCCGACAAAGCAGCAGCTCACACAGTTGGAGCGCCCCGACACGCAAGCGAATGACGAACTGGGAGGGCGCCGGGCGGAGGATAACGGGGTCACGACTCACGAGAGGAATCAACCCAATTCGCGCGGATTGATCGAGCAACCGGGGAAATGCGGAGGGAGCTTTACAGCGTGACCGTGACTAACCTCCTTGGCGCGGTTCTCGATGAGGCCGATAACGAAGCTAGACCGCTCTCCACCTCCTCCTCCTCCTCCTCCTCCTTCGTCAGCTCCGGCGGCGTCGCCCTCCATCTCCGCCGCGCCGAGCCGCACCGCAGCTGCGCCCGCGAGTGTGCGCGAATGCCGGCTTTTCTCAGGGGATATGTGCCGGAATGCAATGCCGCTTGGCGCTTGACCGTTATATAGGGTGGGCCAAACCAGGCCCATGAGGCGGAGGCCTCGTATAGAGATGCCCCGTTCTAAACCGAGCCAGCGGCCCAGCCCAACTGAATCCCTGAAGGAAAGAAAAGGTAGCCCTAGGCCGCTAGGCGGCGCCGACGAGCGGACGAGGCGGTTGCAGTGGGCCGGTGGGGGCGGGCGGTACCTGCAGCGGGGAGTCGCCGGGCGCAGAACCAGGCAGCGACGGCTGGTGGTGGGAGTCGGCGTTGCGACAGTGGCGCGGCTGGCACCCAGGCAGGCGGCGGCCTCTGGGCGTGGCATGCCGCGCACAGCACAGGAGGAGGCGAGTTCTAGGCGGTGCGTCCCGAGGGCCGGAGCGGTTTTGAGCTCTCAGGCATAGTCAGCTCCCCGTAAGTATAAACTCAACCGATTCTCTGTAATATAGGGAAGGGCAATTTAGCAGTAGTAAAGGTTGTAATATGCACTTCAGCTTTTCATACTTTATCTGTATATTTATGTACATACTTTTCCAGAAATAGAAGTAGTGCTCCACGCAACTAGTGATACCATGACTCAACAATTAAGCCTCAGGTGCATTTTGTTTTAGCTCTGAGAATGTATTTGACTGCAAAATTAGAGATCAATTGAGGAAAGCTTTTGTGTTTAATAGTCCAATTCAACAATTGCTTCATAATTTTCTGTAATTCCACCTCCGAAATTCACTGGTTTTTACTCTCAATCCACAGGTGGAGATACCTGGGGTGGGTTTTCATGGCCTATAGTGTGCTGTAGAACATGCTGATTCACTTAAATGGATAGCTTTTTTTATTGTCAATGAAGCATATAGGATGAACAGCAAGATCACTGGGACTATGAAATTTCAGATTTTATTTTCTGTGTCGAGTCATATGAGCAGGTGCTGCGCGGGAAGCCATGGGTCAAGGACCAGGTGTTCTACAAGCTCATAGCCCAGCTCCTACTCTAATTTAATCCGTGTATGCCAGTTCTATTTTATTGGGTATACCACATGAGGCTTCAATTTAAAATTGAAGTAGCTAGAAAACCATACTATAAACCTGAGGTGTGTTATTGTGCCAGCTAGGAGCAATGTGGCCAATATATTGAAATAAAGAGAATTTTGATGCTACCTCACCTCAAGTGCTACTTTTGTACAAGCATTCTTTTTATTTATATCAGGTTTCAGAATTGTGTACCTTCTGTAATAGAAGATGCATAGCTACAATTGAGACTCTGAATATTATGTTTGGCAGTTTAAGATTGTAGTGTACAATACGAGGATGAGTGTTCTTCTTAAGCAATTTGCTGGGAATCTGAGACAATGAAAAAAAATGATTGGCATTGTTTTTCAGCTCTATAATGGATCCCAACATGAAGCAGCTTCAAGAGGCTCTGGTTGACATTGAGACTGATGCGGAACAAGTTCTTCTAGCTAGGCATCAGGTTCATATATGTTATTGGCTTGCCTTATTAATACCAGATGAGAGTCTAAATATCACTCTTCTGATTTGTTGTTCTCTGTTGCTATCAGTTGGTGGAAAATGATAAGATAAGAAATGCAAACAGGGAGGCCCTGACAGCCCTCCGGAAACAGGCTAGGACAACCAAAAGCAGTGTGCCATCTCCCTTTGAGGTCATAATGAAAGAGATGGAAGGAAACTCTGGCAAGCAGCTGATAAAGGAGATATGCCCAACTTGTGGAGACCACGACCCCAAAGAACATACTTGGCTAATGTTTCCTGGATCTGATGTTTTTGCTCGTGTCCCATTTCATGTGGCACACACTGTTCTGGAGAAAGGTATGCTCAGGAATCATGCTCCACAAAAACCAGTGCATTTGAATTTATCAGTGATGTAGGTTCATTAGATATATGGAGCAAGCATTTACAGTTGATTTTGAATTTCATATATGGAGCAAGCTTTTTTGCACACAAACTGTTAAAATGAGCAGCGTGTAAAGAACTCTGTGCTGACACTATTTTTTTTTTTTATCGATTCTTCTGGCATCCAAACTATTTTCTTTCATTTTCGTGAAAATCCAAGAAAAAGTGAAGCATGTTCTCCTTTCTGCAAACAAGGAAACTTGTGTGCCTATTTAGTCCAACTATTTATATTTAGCCAGTTCCTCGAGGCAATATTTATGACAAACAATTGCTTATTTCACTTTGTATTGTGCAGACCAAGAACGCCTTGATTTCGATACCAAGAAACTGCAAAGCTTTGTGAAGGAGAAATCACTTGTGATCGCTGAGAAAGGCGCCCTAGCAGGAAGATTCGGCGCTGACACTGTGAAATCCTTGGTCAGCCTTAGAGACACACCTAAGTTGACACGAGAGGGAGCAGAAGTGAAGTATCAGTTGGGTTAACTGTCCAACCGCAATCCTGTTTCTTGGATATCTTCTGTGTAGATGTTTGCTTTCATGTCGAACAAAATTTTGTGTGATTGTTAGCACTGGCAAAAATTTGTTCCAAATTGATGCTGAGTTGTTGAACCACAGCGAATCTGAAATTTTGAATTCTGATTTGCTGTGGCATTGCAACACAATCAGTGTGGGGTTCCTGATGGGGCATCCTTGATGGCCTAGTTCCTGATGGGGAATCCTTCATGGCGCAACCTGTGTGTAGTTCATGGCGCAACCTTCCTCACAGTTACGCACGAGAAGTTTGATAACTTGCAATGTGGGTGCAAATCTGTTTACTCAAAATATTGCAATTGCAGCTGATGTGATTCAACTCAGAACAATGGAAGGAATGTTGCAGACTTGCAGTTAGTATGTACCGCTGCAGATTGCAGTAAACCAGCCATGCCCATGTTGTATGAAATGTTACAAGTCTATTCCCTAGGATACAAACAAGCTCCATGTGCAGCTCGTTCTTCCCCAACTCCGGCTTGTCGCGTCCTCTTCTGCCTCCTCTACGGGATACGGCCATCCCATCCTCAATTCAAACATTTGAGTTGAGCATTGCTCGTTCCTACCATTTCGGCAATTCAACAGTTGACTCATCGCTCGTTCCTATTACCTACCATTTCGGCTTCAACAATTCAGTGGAGCATGACTCGTTCCTACCATCTCAGCTTCAGTCCCGCCCTGTAGCGGCCGTTGCGGGAAGGAGGGGCCATCGCCCCTCAGAATAGCAAGCACAGAAGAGTCGAGGCGCGCGCGACGTGCGCAGAGGCCACACCTGCGCGCGCGCGTGCACCAGAAGAGGAAATCGCGTGCATGGCCGGCGCGCCCGCCACCGACTCTGCCGCGGCGGCGACCGGCGCTGCGGCCGTGCCGCTGCTCCTGCCGCTCGATGACGCCGTGGCGGGCGGAGGGTGCTGGGAGGACACCGCCATCTCGCTGGGACTGGTGGGCGTGCAGCTGGCCAGCGCCGCGTACATGGTGGTGCTGACGCCCGTGCTGGCTCTGGGGCTGGACCCGCTCTTCCTCATCGCCTTCGGCAGCCTGTGCACCGGGATCCTCACCGTCCCCTTCGCCGTCAAGCTCGAGAGGTTTGAATTAATCACGCGCCGCCATGGATTGTTCGTTATGTTCTGTACGTTCTCTGATCGGTCTGCATGCAAATCTGGGATGGACGGAGCAGGAAGAAATGGCCGTCGGAGCTGACCAGCCGACTGTTTTTCCGGTTCGTCGTGCTGGCTCTGGGAGGGTAAGAAACTCCAGCAATCCAGCAATGACAATGGTGTGCTGCTCGCCTGCTCTGATCCCAAATGGGCTTGCGAATGATCCGTGTAACACGGACCGTGTTGGTCTCTTCCAGGGTGACTGGATTCCAGGCCCTGATGCTGCAAGGCATGAAGATGACGTCCCCGGCCATTGCTTCCGCCATGCCCAACCTGGCGCCCGGCTTCATCTTCGTCATCTCCGGTTGTCTCGGGTACTCCCGCCGTCCACTGGCCGGGGCCCCAATCCACACCCTGATTGCGCAGGCGCATGATATATAGCATTAGTTTGTGCATGTCCACGTTTGCAGGTTCGAGAGTGTTGATCTGAAATGCCGGTACACGAGAGCCAAGATCCTGGGCACCGTGGTCTGCCTGGGGGGCGCCGTGGCCATGAGTTTCCTGCAGAGCCCGGACGCCCGATCGGGACACGTGCTGCCGCGATCGGCGGACCCCGCCGTGAGCTGGGTGGTGGGCTGCGTGTGCCTCCTCGCCGCGGTGCTCGTGCTCTCGGGCACGATCGTCATGCAGGCGGCGACCATGCTGCGCTTCCGGGCGCCGTTCACGCTCTGCTCCGTGACGTCGCTGATCGGCGCGGCGCTGACGGCGGCGTTCCCGGTGGTCACGTCGGGGCGGCTCAGCCCCGGGACGCCCCAGATCAGCCTCCAGATCGTCCTCTCCCTCGTGTTCGTGGTACTGCCGAAATGTGATGACGTTAGAAATCTACGGCCGTGGTTGAGCTGAAATGACCGGTTTTCGATGGTGGCCGTCGGTGCAGGGAGGGGTGGTGAGCTCCGCGTGCATTATGTTCCAGACGTGGGCGCTGGAGAAGAAAGGCCCCGTCATGGTCTCCATGTTCAACCCCATGCAGACTGTCGGCACCGCCATATTCTCGGTGCTCTTCCTTGGCGGCGCCATGCAGCTAGGAAGGTATTGGAAGGTTCCAGATTCACCCAACCAAGCTTTGGCTTGCTTTTGCCCCCCCTTTCTTCCCGTTGAGATTTTTTATAAGCGTTGCAGGGATTGTCGGATTGACATGAATCAGAAGCTGATTTTGTGCTCTGGGTTTATGTCTTCCAACCCCACCAAATGCAAATAGACTGAATTGATCTCTTGATGTTTGGCGCAGCATACTCGGGATGGTCTTCCTCTTCTCCGGGCTGTACGTAGTTCTGTGGGCGAAGAATAAAGAATGTCAGGTTCTTGCTCCAGACAGGGTGGAAAAGAGTAAAACAGCGCACAACGACATGGAGAAGGCCCTCTTGTTTTGAGATGGAGCTAAGTTTTGCTTCCCTTGTAATATTAGGCTCTTCAATTTAATATACAATTGTAAATTAATAAAATCTTCCTTTATAAAAAAAGGAACTTGCTAAAATCTGGTGTCTGAATTTTCGATTCCTTTTTGGCAACGGTTATTGCATATATTTTATGTTAAAATTGTAGGTTTAGCTCATTGCAAATTGCAGTTTATGTAGGTATAATCTGTAATTTTTGGTTCTGAGAATAAAAAAACATTAGACAAAACCACAAACCTGATAAAATTTGATTAGTGTTGGCACAAAGACAATTAAAAGTTTACAATTATTTCTATTGTTAGACAAAGATAAAAATTTGATATATTATGATACAAAGACAAATAACAAATCATAAAAGCCCAATTTACTTGTACTAGTTGGTTGTACAAGAGTATTGCATGAAATCATCTTAAAATTCAGGCACCTGAAATATAGGGGAAGTGAAAAAAAAAAACTCACATCCTCTTTCAAATCCTGATTGCCTTAACCGTAGGACCTAGTTTGATATGCAAATGTAGTAAGGCATCGTTTATGTCCACTGATTGTTCCATGCCCCTTTAACTGTTTCAAGAATCCCAGAGGAGTACCCGAAAAGAGTCAACCCTGAAGCTATGGTAAAAATTGAAGGATACATCTCCATAAAGCCAAATTTGGAAGCAAGAAGATGGAAAACTAAATGGCTTATTCAAATCACACCCTCATGAATTGCTCACCCTAGGAAAAGTCCGAAATCCCAACAGGATTTTCCCATGAATTGTTCACCCTAGGAAAGTCCGGAATTCCAGGGAATTTGAGTTTCCAAACTAACTCTGAAGGATGATCGGTGCATGACCAGAGATCGTTGTTGTTAATGCCCGAAGGTCTACTGAGGGGAAGTGCTCTTGCCATTCAAGGGTACAGAAAAAAACAATCAATCCTAGTCATTATAGGACAAGGTTGTTCATTGACCAAGTAAACTTGCCCCCTTAGTTCAATTTCTAGCAGTTTCTGACCGAAGCTCGTTTGTTTGCAACTGTTCACCATCCTAAGGTCAAGCCTGTCATTAATTTTTATCAGCTACATTTTGAATGAGATCAAAGTCCCCAAGCAACAGGTAGGCCGACATTGATTGCTTCAAGGATAAAAGTTCCATGAGAAAGTCTCTCTTCTCCGTGGCAGACTGTGGTTCATAAACCCCAGTCAAGGACCAAGAAATATCATTGTCTCGCATAGTAATATCTACTGAAATAGTATATTGGGTTTGGGACTTCGGTTGTAAATAAAAAAACTTCTCCTTCACAGCCAAAAAAAATGCCACAGGACACCCCCCTGAGCGGCTAAGGGGCGGTTTGGATCTCATTCTCGTAGTGAGATTCTGGATTAAAAAAATAACAGGTGTTTAGATCTCATTCATATATTGATTATTGCCGTGAAAATCTCTGAATAGTAGGTTTAGGATATATATATAGTTTGATTCTATATTCCCATTCTAGAATCCAAGTGTTTGGATCTGGTTCTTATTTTTTTACCTTATTCTCATTTTTCTTAGGAGATCCAAACATGACCTAAATAGGTGGAATTTTTGATAAAATGTGGGCCCATGGTCTCCATCAAGATTTCACTTTCCCATTTGAAAATCTTTGTGCAATCATACTATAGTCGCCCCCGATGACATGATCAGATTTCTTATGGTAGCTCGTTTACCTGCATCATTTAGAACTAGAACATTCCCACAAAAGATGACAGAATTTTAAGCTGACATTTAAAATCAACAATTAAAACTGCGATTTTTTATTTTATTTTTAACATTTTTTATAAACTAATTTTAAATCTAACACTTTTTTTTTTCAAAACTAACACTTTTGGATGCACCTATTGCCATGGCGCGGCGAAAAGCATGTGCTGCGCTATGCATGCTGGGCCATGCTGACCGCTGGCGTGGTTGCGGCTGCCGCGCCACCGCGCGGCAGTGACGCGCCCTGATCCGTGGCGCGGCAGAGCCGGATAAAAGGCCCGAGGCCCAGTCCCGCCTGCCGCGCCCACCGCTTCCAGCCGCCTGCTTGCCGCGCCTTGGCGCCCGCTGCGCCTGCCCGCCGTGCCTGCCACCGGCAGCGCCTGCCCGCTGCTCCAGCCGCCGACCACGGCCGCACGCCGCCCGGCGCGCCCGCATGCCGGTACGCCACCCGCTCCGGCCACGCACGGCGGCTGCCCGCCGCGGCCTTCGGCCACCGCCGCGCCCGCCACCACCCTCACTGCAGCGTCCGCGACTGCCGCCGCGAGGTACTCCCCTAGTGAGTCTAGTTATACATTAGTTGTTGTAGTTAGCCTTGTATAGATGTTAATATTAGATTAATTAGTATAGTTATAGTTAGAATAGGTATTAATATTACTATGGACATTACGTACGACGATTTCGATGAATTGATGAAGTTTCTTAAAATGCTTTTGTAGATGGATTGTTGTGTTAGAGTTTTATACGGAGGAAGTGTTAGGAGAGAAGATGGTATGTTTGAGAATATGGAAGAAGAATTGGAATGGTTTGATGAACCTCCTAGCTTCAATGACCTTTGTGTCCGTTTGAATGTAAAGTTTGGCGGTGATTTCATACTGAAGGGGAGGTTTGATACTGGGAAGACTAGGGCACACTATGTCCTCATGCCCTTACGCAACCCTGCTCACTGGTCCCGCTACACTAGGGTGCTCCAAGGTTCCAATGTGCCCATGGCTGAGGTGGTGGTGGAGAATGGGTATAGGATGTAGGGTGTCCAGGACAGCCCGTCCATTGACGGTGTTGGAGGCAATGAACAAGAATTAGGGGGTCGAAGGGGAAGCAACTCAGGGTAACATGGGTTTGGACGGTCAGTTGACGTAGGAGCAGTTTCATTCAACTGTAGTAGGCTATATATGCAATGACTTCGATGTGAACGAATTCGAACGAGAAGAGGAGGAGCAGGAGGAGGAGGACAGGATCGGTGATGTAGTTAGCAGTGATTCAAACGATTCTGATGATGATCAAGGAGGTACAGATGCTATGTGTCGGGTTCATAAACCAGGGGCTCCTCATGGACCGGCTTCCCAACAAAGGCCCGACCCAGCAGACAAAGTTGGAAACGACGCGCAACTCATGGGCCGGTCCAAATACCTAAAATGACAGGATAGAAGGGCGATCCAATCTCCGACCGAAAGTCCTGGCCGAGAAGGAACAGCGCCCGCTTTCGACTCTGGCCCGCCTCTCCGACCAGAAGGCCTTGCTTCTGACTCTAGCCCGCCTTCGGATGACCTCTCCGACCGGAAGGCCTGGCTAAACACCACTTCCGACTCTGACCCGCATCCCCAACCGGGGATGCGCCGAACCCCTACTCACAGCTCTTCTCCAACTGGCGCAATCAGAGCCGACTGGGACCAACCGACCGGGGACGCCCGCTCGGTAAGGACCAGGAAACGGACGGAGAAAGTAAGGCAGGACACTCAAGTCAACCACAATACCAAGGACCGTACCCTATACACCTGTAGGACAGTACCCTATGACCTTCCTAAGCAGTGTTGTAGGCGCCGACATTTTTCCTACAGTGTTGTGGGCGCCATCAACTCCCATACCAGACAAACGCGGTAAGGCTCCCCCCACGTGCCTCTAGGCATCAACAATGTTGTGGGCGCCGGCATATACCGTACCAAGCGAACATGGTAAAACCCCCTGCATACCTCTCGACATCAACAGTATGGCAGGCACCGACGTCTGTCATACCAGAAGAAAAAGACGTAACCTCCCATATGCATCTGACATTTAACAGTGTTATGGGCGCCTACAATCATCTTATACCCAATGGCGTGGGCAACAAGACTTAGTATACGTACACTCTCTCCCTCTCACTTGTAAGGCCATCCCCTTCATCTATAAAAGGGGATGCGCTCTCTCCAAAAAAAAAGATCGATCAGTTCACTAACACACAACTGTAGAACCACTAGGTTCAAACCTTGAGCACACGATCGAACACACAGCACATAGCAGAGCTCCCGTCACTCTCGACCCTTCACACCAGAGTCTGACCGGACCTCTTATACCCCCCATCTTTCTCCCTTTCGTTTGTAACCCCATAGCAAACTTCGAGCACCTGAGCTCAGGAATAAAGTCATCGACCGACTCAAATTGGACGTAGGGCACGTTGCCTGAACCAGTATAAACCCTGTGTCATTGAGTGCTAGGCCACCTCTGATCACAACGTACAACAAAACTACAAATATTTACGTGTTGATCACTTTCTGCACCGACAGTTGGCGCTGTCCGTGGGGAACAAGCTGTACGTCCACACTTTTTGGCCATCGGATGGCTCACTTTTCTGCCACCTTCGCCATGGCGGGCTCAAGCAATATGACTCGCTTCGGTTCACTAGAGTTTCCTGCACTCCCACCTGTGGGGATGTGGGTTTCGCCTGTCTTCGAGCCATCCCAGGCCTTCCTCTTCGGAAGCCTGGACTTCATCGCCGACTGGCTTGGCGTACTACACCTCCGCAAGGAGGCACTTGTTCTGGCGTTCGTCGGAGGGGCGCCCTCCATCGGCTCTGGGACGCACGACGACTTCAACGACGAGACGCCTGCGCTTCATTCTGAGCAAACTCTCTGCTCAAACCCCACTTTGAGTAATGTGCATACTGTTATTCACTCTCTATTTACTATCTCCCGCCTATTATCCGGAGGGACCATATTGTCCGCACCGTAAACACCGTACGACCAGTTCCCCTGTGGTCTCGTGTCCCCCATGGACATGTACACTCGGGGGCTCCAACGGACGCTGGCACCGTCCCCTCTCACATCCGAATTCATGGGAATGGTGAGCTATGCTCCCACCACTTTCTAGGAACTCCTGGATGACGAGGTTGATAGCGACGGCTCCAGCATCGGCGACATGGCACCTAGCCACTGTCCGTCCCAGGAGTGCGCTATGGCAGATGCTCCGGGACAGCTGCCGGTGGTTGCGGAGTCTATGCAGACTCGCACCC